TAAAGGCCCAGGTTTGTTCATTGGCTCCACCAGACAAAGCTCTGAGCATCACTGAGCATCGTTCCCTAGCTTGGGAAGAGAGAGGGCTGGGAAGAACTGAGGTAGGCAGGGCCCCAGGGCTGCTGTCATCCCCTGCTCTCCTCCATGGCATGCCTAGGGAAGGTGAGATTTCACCCTTGACTCACAGGGTGACCATGGCCTCAATTTCCCCATCTGTAAAATGGGTGCATTGGGCTTATCTATCTATCTCTAAGGGTGCTTCCAACAAGTCACTCTAGAATTCAAGGTATAATCAGGTGCAGGAAGGTTTGGAGCTGGGACATGGTTTCTAAATGGGATCAGTCAATCCTCAATTGATGGGAAAGTTTAAAAAGATCTGGTCTCATCCATCTCTCTACTCAGCCCAGGAAGAATCCAAACCACCAGCCACAGGCACAAATGCCCACAAGGGACTGAAAGGTGACATGGAAGACAGAAGTAGCCAAGTGCAAGAAAATAACCCCTCTGGCCCCTTGGTGAGTGGCCCCTAATAATCAGCCTCAGTGTCGGGGAATCAATAGGGAGTAGTGGGGACTGGGGCACACGTCCCATCTCATCAGCTCCAACCCAGTGTTGCCTTCACCCAGCATTGCTGGGTCTGCTGACATTTTAGTAAATTTTCCCAGTGTTCTATAGATTAGCCACACCAAACACATCTGTGAGCCAGATAGAGCCCAGTGGATATCAGCTTGTGGCCGCCAGGTTCAGCTACCTGGGACCTTCCTCTTGAACTTCTCCAGGCTGGAGATTCTAAAACAGTATTCTGTGGCCCTGGCTGCCAGGAAGTTGTTGCTCGTGTCCAGCTAAAACTTCTCCTGCTTTAAATCCTTTTTATTTGTGTGTGAGTGGAGGCATGAGTGAGAATTGACTCCTTACTTAAAAAAAAAATAAAAGTAGAAGAAGAACATTTTAGAAACTGGAAAAACAGCCCAGATGCAGTGAACTGAAAAACCAGTGGTTGTTAGAAGACCCACATTCGAGACCAGCTCTGTCATGGCTCATTGGTGTAACCTTGAGCAAGCCACTTCACCTGTCCAGGGCTAAGTTTTGTGTTTGTTTTTTCTCTCCCTATCCCTTTTGCCCTTGCCCTGGGGCTCACCATCACCCACCCAAAATACATAATGATAATAATAACAATTATAACTAGAGCTTCTTATTGAGCAAGCTTCTGTATCAGGCTTTATCCTAAGCACTTTTCATTATTTTATTAACATTATTTTATTTCATCTTCCCAACAATTCTATGGGATTGGTATTTTTATTCCCATTTTACAGGTTAAGACACTGAGCCCAAGGCTTTACCCTCAGTAAATGGTAGAGCTGGGTAGAGGTCTTCTGCCCCTTCCCCAGGCTGGGCTCTCCTTTGGCCATTACAATGACCTTTTTTTTTTTTAAGACTTTATTTATTTATTTATTTGACAGAGAGAAAGACAGCGAGAGAGGGAACACAAGTGGGAGAGGGAGAAGCAGGCTCCCCGCTGAGCAGGGAGCCCGATGTGGGGCTGAGCTGAAGGCAGACGCTTAATGACTGAGCCACCCAGATGCCCCTACGATAGCCTTTTAGCACACAGATGTGATTGTGACCCTCTACTGCTCAACAACCTTGAGTGGTTCCCCACTGCCTTAGCAACTCCGCCCACCACTAGTGGCCATCAGTCCACAGCAGCGTACTTTTCTGCTTCTTCCAACACACTTGATGCTCTAGCCCAGGGCTTCCCAATCACCCACGTGCCATACGCAGAGTTTTTCTTGCTGTTTATACATCTTAATTTATTTTGCTTTATATCGATTAGTATTTACTTCACATTCATCTTCTTGTCAATTCATTTCCAACTTAAATCCATTGATTTTTATTTATCACCCTGTGTTTGTGTTGCCTAAACCACTTCTGCCCACTCACGAAGATGAACAACTGTAAATAAAAATGTTCATCTAGGGGCGCCTGGGTGGCTCAGTGGGTTAAGCCTCTGCCTTCGGCTCAGGTCATGATCTCAGGGTCCTGGGATTGAGCCATGCATCAGGCTCTCTGCTCAGCGGGGAGACTACTTCTCCCTCTCCCATTCCTCCTTTCTCTCTGCCTGTCTCTCTGCCTACTTGTGATCTCTGTCTGTCAAATAAATAAAATCTAAAAAAAAAAAAAAAAGTTCATCTAAAGTCTCCCTACCCTGGACCCATGGCTGGTGCCCCACTTGGTGAAGCACTGCCTGAGCTTGCACTGTGCCCCTCCCTGGGCTGGGTGATCTCCTTCCCACCCTTCAGAGCCCCGCTCAACCCGCATCTCTTTGCTTTTCATGACACATATGCTTCCAGGCAAAGAGAGGGACTCCCATCGCCTGTCACCCAGCCCGGAAGTCTCAGCAACTTTGCACTAGAAGCCCCCAGGACAGGAACCAGAGCTTACTCTTCTCACACTCAGGTCTTTACACAGGGCCGGGCACATAGCAGGTGCCTTGGAGAAGCAGATACTTTGGCAATGTTGAATAAATTGGATTCAACTAGCTTTTCTCAAAGTGTGGGAGAGGCTAGCAGGGGACCCATGAGATGAGTTAGGGAGGCCATGAACTTGATGTGAAATCACAGAAAGTTATCCCAACTCTTGTTTAGTCCTCCCGAGAACACCAAAGAGAAAGTCTCAGTTCAGTGCCAGGATATCTTAAAACACCTCTCAGACACACAGTGATCACTCCTTTTAATGAAAAGAAAGCAGTCCTCCCGCTTGGAATCATCCAGAGCCAACCTCATTGAGCCAGAATTTACCAACACAAATTTGCCCTCATTGTAGACATTTTTACAGTTATTCTGTGTTTATGACTGCGGATACTGATTTTTCATGGTCATGATATAAAATGTCTTAAATATACCTTTAAGTGTATAAGGTAAGCTGATTAAAAGAAAAATATTAAGCAAATAGTAATTTTGATTTTGTTCTTTCTTCATAATATCTTATCCAGCAAGTGAATGTGCACAAATTGTTATGATAGAACTAAAAGTTCGGGAATGTGAAACCAAATAAGCCCAAAGAGCCTTTGTCATAGGATGCTCTGGCACTGGGATGCGCCAGGGCACTAGGTAGCCTTTAATCAAATCATCCCAGGCAAAGAACAACTGTGGTAGGGCCGTGAAGGAAAGATACATAGCATGCTAGAGTGGGAGTCGGGGAAATTGGGAAAGGTTTTCCTGAGGATGTGATACTTGGGTGGACATTGATAGGATGGAAAGGAATTCTTCAGGTGAAAGGGGGCCACCCCAGCAGGAACAGCACATGCAAAGGCCCTGTGGCAGGAAGGAACATGAAAGATAAGAGACTCTGAACCAAGGTCAGAGTGGCTGAAGTACAGAGGTGAGGTCAGAGAGGTGGGCAAGTAACAAAAGTGGGAGAAAAGTCTGTCCATCAAGCGTATTTAAGAAAGAGTTGCTCAGCCTTTTCAGGGAACCACCCAGGGCCTGCCTCTTAATCTGAGGGTCTGGCGTTCAGCAAGGAGTTTCTGGATTCTAAAAGTAATCCCTGAGTTCAGTCCAAAACCAGGGAAGGTTTAGCGAACACTGCTTGATTCAGGTGTGGTTCTGGGGTGGCCTGGACAGCTGAACGCACATTCAGAATTCAGGCTGTCCTATCTCCCACTTCCTGGTTGGGTGACCTTGGGCAGCCACAGAAGCTCCTAGAGCCTCAGGTCCCCATCTGCTGGGTGAAGATCCCAGCAGGTCTATTTTTAGGGCTGATGTTCGTGACATGAGCTCCTGCGTATAAATCCCTGGGCACAGTGCTTTCCCCATAGGGAAAGGTGAAGAACCACGAGCTTATGACGATCTCTGTCAAACAGCTTGGGCAACAAGGTGTGTCGTCCACCTGTCCTGCTGGTGTGTGGATCTAGCAGCCTGGTTTTGCCATATGTCTGTGGCATGGATGCAGATGGATGTCCATATTTTGGCATTGGGGACAGCCGGTGGGTAAGCCGTGTGTGTGTCAGAGGGCACGTGTGTTCAGCCGTGGGAGGCAATGGGAACATACACTGCTATGCTCTGTGTGTGCGTACCCGTCTTAATAGAATCCTTGTACACTGAGTGAAAATCCACACACATTCAACATGGGCCATCAATCAAGGGGTTAAAGCCTTGGCCGGTCTTCAGGATTTTTCCAAACCCCAGTGCTCCCGTGAACCCGCCTGGGGCTCCTGGGCCTATTGGGAGCTGGGCTGTGATTCCCTGAAAACAGACTTTTCTTTCATTCCCTGTTCCCAGATACTGGCACACGTGCACGCGCGGGCGCACACACACATGCACACACACACACACTCCTCCCACTCCTTCCAGAGCATCTCAACATTAGAGAGGGGCCAGCCAAGGAAGCCACAGTATGGAGGTATTGCCCTCCTTCTTCTCCTTCTGCTAGGCCTACCTCCCGGCCCTGTTCCCATGAGACTACCTCACATCAGGACTAGGGGCATACCTGACATTTTGGCCCTGAGTGTGAAGTGGAAAAACCACCCCAAGTTTTGGTAAGGAACTCCGTCCTCTCCGCTTGGCACTGGGCGGGAGGGGGGCTTGAACCCGCATCTCTGTTTGCACCTTGTCTGAGGACAGTGGGCATACCTGACCCTCAGCCTCAAGTCGAAAGCACAACATCACCGCTTGTTTTATCTAAGGCCCAAGGGCTAGGGTTCCAGCTCTGATCTGTGCCAGGGATGGGGCGACATCTAAGTTCACAAGTCATCCAATCTTAGCCATCCACATCGCTCCTGGAGAGACAGGGCCCAGAGAGGAGAGAGGACATGCCCAGAGGGGGACTCCGACACCTCCACCCCCATTCCCCTACCGCCCCCCACCCCCGCTCCTGGTGGGGAGCAGTTAACACAGACCCGTAGCGAGGTACTGAGGGTCATAGCATAAAAGGTTGGGGTCCGCCCTGGACACCCGCACCAAAAGGGGACAGAGCGAGGTGGTCCAGGCCTTGGCAGGCGTTACCATGGTGACGGGCTGCTCCTCTCCGGGGCGCGGGATCAGTCGGTCGGTCCGCAGGTCGGTCTGTGGGGCGCGGCCCCCTCCTAGCACTGGAGCGTGTAGAGCGGGCTGGCCGGGGAAGGGAGGCCGGGGACACAGGGAGAGGGCCCGACGGAGCCCGCGAGAGGAAACTGGAGGCAGCGCGAGTAGAGCGGGGGCCGCCGGCGGCCTCAGGGGCGGGTCAAGCTCTGCTTCCCGCGCGGGACGGGGCGGCGCGACAGCGGCCCTTTTGTGGCGGCGCCCGGCCCGCGCCCCGCCTGCCGCGCGGGAGGACGAGCAGCCGCCCCCCTTCCCGGGGCTGCGCCGCCGCTGCCGAGAGCTGCTGGGCCGCCCGCCGCTTTTCCGCCCGCTCCCCTCCGCCCAGCCGCCCCCGGTGCACCGACGGCCGTGCCAGGACTCCGCGCCCGCGCTGCACCCACCGCTGGGTGCGCACCGCTTCGGCTTCAGCCCTGGGTTCGAGTCTCCACCTTGTCCGCTCGTCAGTTGTGGGAATCGGCAAGTCACAAAGTGTCTTAAGCCTCAGTTTCCTCATCTGTAAAATGGGGATGATGCTACTGATGGGGCTGATGGTGATCGTACCTGCTTCTTAGACGTGGTGGAAAAGATTGGCATCTGTCCCAACGCCCTGCCCCTGGGAAGCCCACACCGCTCCCGCATCAGGATGGCCCAGTTCAAGACTTAAAGGTGATGGTAACTTCTCGAGTTCTTGTCTTGTTTCTCGCAGATAATGACTAGCTTTGTGGCCTTGGTCAAGCCATCGTTCCTCGCCTTTGGAGGGAGAACAGAAACTAGATGATTTCTGGCTGGGTGACTCTGGGGTTCCTCTATTTATTGAACAAACATTGTGCCAGGAACTGAGACAGAAGTCAGAGCCTCTGCCCTCAGGTAATATATAACCTAGTGGGGAAGATAGGCAAGAAATCGATAAACAGAAACAAATAATGGTTGAGGTGCGAGCTGCTAAGGCAAGAGATAAATGTGGACCTTGAGAACTGTAGGGGGGACCAACTTGGAGCTGGTGGTCTAGGAAGGGACAGAGAAGCCTAGATCTAAAAAAGAGGAAGGAATTAGATGAAGAGTGGGGGAGGGAAGATGGTGGAAGAAACAGAGTTCCAGGCAACAGCATGTGCAAAGGCCCTGAGTTACCATTAAGCTGAAAGAAACTTGGAATCAGTGAAGAACTGAAAAAGGACAAGTATAGTACTGAGAGTTCAAGGTCAAAACCCAAGCCTTATTTTTAGCCCATCTCCCACCCCACATAGGTTAATCAGTCTTTTAACAGTGAGAACCTGAGCTAGGAACCATCCCATCCTGCTGTGTAGCTTTTAACAAGTCCCTTCATATCCCTGGTCCTACATTTGCTCATTGTTAATTTGGGACTAATAATCCTGAATAGCTTCACTATGCCACACAGCCCAGAGGACCCCTCCATGGCATGTATTAAGCAAGCAAATAAATGTCTCCCACCTGCAGGGGCAGTCTCTTTTGGTATCACTACTCCAGATATGAATTTAAGAGAGAATAGACTTGTTGATGTCAAGTGCAGAGTTCCACTGGGAATTGGCGGTGGGGGTTGGGGGACGGTTTCCCAGCTTGGAGCCTGCAGAGTCCCAGTTTTGCAGTGAAACAGAACTGACATTACACCCAGCGTTCTGGGGTTGCAGGCAACAGAGACTGACTCTGAGTTACTTTCACAGAAAAATAATGGATTAGTAGAGTACCAGGAGCTCACAGAATCAATGAGAAGACTGGGATCCCACCCTCTGGAAAGCACAGGAACCAAATGAGATGCTCCGGGGTCTCTTTGTGGGAATGAATGGCAAACCCTTGAAGACTGATGGAAAGACATCAAAACACCCCAAACTAGAACTTTCTACATGCAGGTAGTAATTGTTATGTAACTGTTATGGGGTAGATTCTATGATTGTCCTTATTTTATAGATTTAAAAAAAAAAAAGAGGTACAGAGAGGTCAGCTAGCTTGCCCAATGGGGAATAGGTACTGATTGTGGAGCCTGAAATTGCACGAGGTTATCCATTTCCAGAAATTATGTTATTAAGCACCTTCCTGTGCTACCTGAATGAATCCCAAGCTATGTGTCACTCTTTTCTAGAATCAAAGACTTAAATGAGAGATTCTTTTTTTTTTTAAGATTTTATTTATTTATTTGACAGAGATCCCAAGTAGGCAGAGGGTGGGGGGATGCAGGCTCCCTGCCGAGCAGAGAGACTGATGTGGGGCGCAATCCAGGACCCTGAGATCATGACCTGAGCTGAAGGCAGAGGCTTAACCCACTGAGCCACCCAGGTGCCCCTTAAATGAAAGATTTTTATTGGGTCATGTGGCAAGGTAGCATAACAATGAATATATTGGGACTAGTTCGTCATGTAAAGGGAAATTAGGTCACACAAGAAGGGTAGGAAAGGATCTGAAATAGCTTGTAAACAACGGTGCTCATCACAGCCCATCCCTTGGGCCTCTCAACATCCCTTATATGTTTATTCCAGTGCACACTCTTCCAAAAATACTCTTTACCGACTTAGTACTACTCCACGTACAGCCAAAAATGTATACACGCATACCTACACCTTTGTATGGTTTGGCTCCACGCTGTGTGTGACCTCAAAGAAGTTCACCTTTCTGAACCTCAAATCCATCCTTCTAAGACAACATATGACTTACTTCCTCATGGGACTGTGGTGGGGATTAAATAAGTCAATGAATGTAAAATGCTTTGCACTCTGTCTGGTACACAGCAGAATTAATAGATGACGCATAAAATGGTGTTGTTTATGTAAGGGACCAATGGTTGTGAAATCAGCCTCCAACTACACAGGCTTAACTATTAGATTTGATTTGGTTCGTCTCTCAGGGACTTTCCAGAGAGAGGATTTTCCAAGGACTGTCCGATGTGTTTCCTCTCCCTTTGGCAAATGATTAACTGAATGAATCATGTTCCACTTGCTACACCAGATTTGGGGAAACCCATCACAGCTCTGACATAGGGTGGAATGGAGAAAGTGGGGAAGCGTGGTAGAAGTGGGTCTCTGCCCCCGACCTGCTGGGTCGCCTTGCACAGATCCCTCCTCTTTGGGGACCACAGTTTTCTCAGCAGAATCTGAAGGCTCTAATCCTCTCCTCATGAGACTTTTGTGAGAATCCAATGAGGTGGTGATTGAAAGAGTCTAACTCAGTGCCTGGCATATAGGAGGTCCCCAGCAAATGGCAGTTGTCCCTGTGACTCTGAGACTCCCAGAGCCAGGTGTCTGGCGTCAGGATATCTCTCCCCAGAGACAGTCTCGCTTGGGGGAAGAGCATTGCCTAATTCAAACAGAATGTCGTGGGATTCCAAATTCATTCATTCAGTATTTATTTGCTCCTTCTGTAAGGGTAGCAAATTCTTGGCTCACCTATGCATGTTCACCCCTTTCCTACCCACGGTAGGCATCAGGAATCCATCATGAACCTTCCTGCAGAACTTAGAAGCAGCCTTAGAATCCTCCTCAACACAGAGCCCAGGCAGCCACTACCCATCAACAGGGCCGGAGTTAAGACAACGCTTAGCTTATCCGCTCTTGGCAGTCCCTAATGTACAAGGAAGAATAGCATTGAAAAGGCACCTGCTCTGGAGGTGGAAGGCTTGGCTTTGAACCTTGCCTTATAATTTCCTATGGGCTGTTACTGGAATGAGTAGGTACCGAGGCACTGGATCAGCCATGGACTGTGCCACTTAGATCTCCCTTCAAGACGGATCCTAGGGCAGGAAGTCCAGTGAGCTGTGGATTCCTCCAGGATACAGCTTTTGCCCATCTCCCCTTCACCCTCATGGGCATCGCCCCTGGTAAGTTTCTCGCACTTCTAACTCTGTCTTTGACATCTGCTGGAGAGGATTCGACTAACACCACACTGAGCTGCCTAAGTCTGGGTTGGAAGGGACGGTGCTCCCCTCTGGGATGCTGAGAGTAAGGGGAAGCACTGAGATTACTGACAGGGTTGGGGGAGAAGACCCAGAACAGGGAGGCTGAAGATCACAGTAACATACCCTATGGCCTGCCCTAGATGAAATGACCTCACCTATCAAGGACAGACGTTCAATTCAACAATCCTAAGACCACAACATTTTTTTCCCTGCATCTATATACTAATCCTAGGGAAGAGACTTTGGTTGGCCTTGCTTGGATCCCAGGTCTATTCCTTAGCCAGTCACTGTGGTCAAGGAAATGAGGATATTCCGATTGGTCAGAATAGACTCTATGCCCACTGCTGGGTGAGAGCCTATGATGGCAGCTCTACCAGAACTGCACAGAGTGGGAGACAAGTTCTTCCAAGAAACCAGAAGGAGAAGAATGGAAACACAGCCCAAGCCAACAAAAGCTTTGTTCCCAGTCCATAAACAGTGGGAAGACAAAAAATGGAAACGATTTGGTGTTGTCCCTCAAGGACCTTCTCTTCTTGCAGGTGAAAATGTGATGTTTAGGTGAGTTTCCTGAGACAAGATCTTGGGATGGGAGTGGAAGAGAGATGGGGATACATGGATACCTCAGACACTGTCACACCCTCTCCTAGGATGCCCACAGTCTGGTGCACAGGGACAGAGATGGAAACAATCTATGAGAACAAAAGCCCCTGAGACTTAAAACTTACCTTGTTCATCTGTCCTGATTGACAGCACAGAGATCCACCCACAGAGGGCTGACTCACACAGTGTGACACTTCCCAGCCAGGACACCAACCTGTCATGTTTGGACTGTCCCTAAAATTGCTTCCTGGTGGAGGAGCCTATGAGATATAGTCAGGGCTCTGAGTTCAAGTTCCTGCCTGCTCACTAACTCCCCGGAGGTTTATGGGGGTTTACTAAATTCTCCAAATCTCAGTTTTTTCAGCTATACAATGGAACCAATAATCTTTGCTTTGCCTCCTTCCCCTGCCTGTTGTGAGACAATAGCCACAAGCACTGGTCATGTCCTGCAAGAGACACAGATGCATTTATTGATCACCTACTATATCCCAGGGACAGTGTGCTGAGTCCCGGGAGTAGCAGGGTGAACATGACAGACAGGATCCACCCTTGTGTAACTCACAGTAT